TGTCTATTATAATAAATTTTGTACCCACATTTACAGCTTCTGCCTCCATGAAAAATGCACTTTTCTCTGGGGGCAAAGATCCAGGGAAAATTAGCCTCTAGCCTCTAGCCCTTGCTGGTTTGGTGGCTAGGATTCCTGGTTTTCATCCAGGTTACCCAGGTTCAATAACTGTACACGGATTTAAGGTCTCGCTTCATGCCACCACACACTGCTGCCTCACAGAGATCACTGCCACATTTCATGCATTGCAGATGGATTCTTTTACCACTAAGCCACCACAGCATTGTTGTGTCACAAGGGCTATGTGAGTTAGACTATTATCATCTGAAGCATGGCCTTATTCAAAGGTCTATTGGGAGCGTAGCACTGAAATATATACATTGCCGTATGTAAAATAGAAAGTCCATGGGAGTTTGCTGTATGATGCAGGGAGCTACTCCTAGTGCTTTGTGACAACCGAGAGGTGGGGTGGGGGAGGGGGGAGTTCAAAAGGGAGGGAACATATGTATGCATCCTTTTGCAAGGAAAAGTCAATTCGGACTCCAAGTTGAAACTGTTTCTTTGACTTGCTTTTGTTATTATAATCATATATAATGACTTGCCTCAGAGAATCCTGCCCCTCTACCTTGGTGTTAAGCTAAAAAGAGCCTTGGTTCTGGACCTTGTCCACCTGTGGATGTCAGGAAGGAAGGAATTAACACATTTCCTGCCTAAAGCTTGCCATTCTAGGAGATATTTGCAAGATTCAGGGCCTTTTTACTCTGTTTCCTCACCTCCTTCCCATCTCTGATCATAAAGAAAGCACTTCTAAACCTCAATAAGATGGTTTTTTGGAGACATTAAACAGCTGGCTCAGCATAAAATAGTATTCCTTGCCTCAATATTTCATCTCTGATTCTATTCATTGGCCTCTTATGTGATGAGCAGAGTGAGCTTGGTCTTGTTGATACCTATGACTGATTCTTTTGATGTATTGCAGAACCCAGTACAATACTATAAAGCAATTATCTTCCAATTAAAATAATTTTTTAAAGAAATAGCAAAAAAGTCTATATTAAAGAGTTAAAGCTCTATCTGTAGACATCCACCAAATAGAGGTTAAGTCATACAAAACCAACATTATGTAAAAACTGGGAATGGTCAAAATTATCCCTTTTCCCCTGAGAGTTGCTTTTCAGGTTATCTTGTTCTTTGAATGAATCCAGCCCAGTGGGATGCTCTAATGAGCTAGTTTTTTTTTTTTTTTTTTTAACCCTCTCTTTCCTTGATCTCTATAGTATCAGGCTGTGCCCTAAGTTCTTGGATGATGAAATCACAGACTTCAAAATTTCCCTTATATAGTGTCAGAGCCTTAGTCATGTAGAAAGGATGCTATATGTTGTGCCCCAAGAAAAAGAAACAGGAGGAGACCCAGGTTGGCATAGATCCCTTTCCCAGGGGCTAAGATCAACTCAGCAGAAAGAAAAATAGTGTTCTATGAAACATGAAATAGGCAGATTCAAGTTGTGACTTTGGAATGACAAGCTCTGGTTAGCAGAAGAAAAGAGGCTGGTAGGGAGAATATAGTAAAACATTTCCAGGTAAGTTCTGATATAAATCATTAGAACTACTCCTAAATCTCTTTCTTTTAATCAGATTGTCTTTTGTAAGTGCCTTCCATCTGTAGCACCCACTAATTTGAACTGACCATTCATCTGTTAGTCACTTAGCAACCTCTACCCCAGATATTTGAAAGCGTTGCCTCACATAAGAAAAGTAAACGGGTTTACAGGGTATATAGGAGGTAACAGAATAAAAGTTTCAAGAATCAGATCGTTTTCAAATAATGCAGAAATGTAGTTAGATATAAGCATGTAGGGCTGATTTACAAGTCCCAGCTCATTGTTATTTTACAGTCAGCAAGTTGTGTCTGACTCTTTGCAACCTGATGAACTGCGGCATACCAGGCTTCCCTGTCCTTCATCAGCTCTCAGAGTTTGCTCAAACTCATGTCCATTGAGTCGGTGATGCCATCCAACCATCTTATCCTCTGTTGCCCCTTCTCCTCTTACTATTAATCTTTCCCAGCATCAGGGTCTTCTCCAATGAGTCGGCTGTTCTTATCAGGTGGCCAAAGTATTGGAGCTTCAGCTTTAGTATCAATGCTACCAATGAATATTCAGAGTTGATTTCCTTTAGGATTGACTGGTTTGATCTCCTTGCAGACCAAGGGACTTTCAAGAGTCTTCTCCAGTACCACAATTTGAAAGCATCAGTTCTTTAGTGATCAGCCTTCTTTATGGTCCAACTCTCACATCCATACACAACTACTGGAAAAACCATAGTTTTGGCTCATAGTGAGTACCTAATAAGTATTACTTAAGTAGAGATATTGCTTAAGGAAAGGAAACTTAGCTTAAGTGCTATGCAATAGGGCGGAGATATGGGCAGAAGTATGATGTGGTTTCCCTGGTAGCTCAGTTGGTAAAGAATCTGCCTTCAATGCGAGAGACCAGAGTTTGATCCCTGGAAGATCCCCTGAAGAAAGAAATGGCAACCCACTCCAATATTCTTGCCTGGAAAATATTATGAACAGAGAAACCTGACAGGTTAGAGTCCATGAGGTTGCAAGGACCTGACTTAACAACTAAACCCACCCCATGATGTGAGCAACAGCAGGAAAGGGAAGGTAACAATGAGGTGAGGATAATTCTTGAGTTTTCAAGAAAAAAAGAAAGAAATTTTAGGCAAGTTTAAGGAAAGCATTTTAGGTAATAAGAACTGTCAATCATAGATCCACTTCTAACCTTGTCTCCAGAACTCTACTCACTTGACAGCAAGGTCACACTGAATTTCTCACTATTCCTTACTATATATAAGTTTTCTAGGAATCAGAAGTCTACAAGCTTTTCAGACTCTTCTAATATGAGACCAAGACTGGGAACCACTCTTTTGACTCTATGAAGTATGAAAATAAGCCAGGAGAGGGAATAGAGAAAAATGACTGCTTCAGAAGATGATATACAGTTATTGTGATAAAAATAGAAGCTTAATAAACCAGTGTTGTTGTTGTTGTTGTTTTTGCAGACCCACATAAGGGTAGGGAGCGGGTCATATGAAAGTACAGATAGAAACTGAAGAGTAAGGCAAATACCCTGAAGCAGGCTGTAATGAAAGAAAGATGCACAAAACAGGAGAAAAACCACAGAAGACTGTCCATCAAGTGCATAAATACATAGCTTGAGAGAGTAGGAGACTGTTTTGTACCTGACACTACCTATGGATAATCAGTGTGGTAGTTGGACCTGTCCTTGTAGCTCTTGGAATAAAGGCAAATACCCTCAGCAATAGTCATAAGGAAACTTTACAATGAGTGGGGAAGGAGAAGAATGTTTATTACTAAGAAATACTGGAAATTACATAGGAAACTTGGGACCACACATTGAGGTCATGGGTAGGACCTAGGTCTTGGGTTCTTCTCTTATTGGAGTCAACTGTGTGGGCTTAGGATTTTGTAGGGCCACTGTTTGTTGGTGAATTTAAAACATAAGAACAGAAATCTAAAGTGTGGGGAAAGAGAAAACAAAGGACCCAAATGGCCAGATATCAAAAACAACCAAGAACTCTAAAAAAATGAACCTGGCCTCCCCATTCATTTATTCACCTGGTTGCCAAAGTGTTTATGTGAGAGCCATCTCTGAAGTGTGAAAGTGAAGTGAAGTCGCTCAGTCGTGTCCGACTCTTAGCGACCCCATGGACTGCAGCCCACCAGTCTCCTCCGTCCATGGGATTTTTCCAGGCAAGAGTACTGGAGTGGGTTGCCATTGCCTTCTCCTCTGAAGTTTATGCCTAGGCAATCAAAGCTCAAGGCAAGTGCTTACATAACAAAAAAAGAGAAATCCAATTGTCAGGGCTTATCCTACAAAAGGAGCAAGCTAATGCTGTCTTCATTTAGATAATATATCTATGACATTTTGTCCAAAATAACAGAGGAATCCAGTGGGGAGAAACAGGATCATAACCAGAGACTAGATTTCTGAAAGAAGGATAACACATAAGGAAACTCAACAGAGACTCCCAACAACTCATCACTCTTGCAATAAAGGGTAAGCATATTTCCTCTCTTTAGGAAGCTTCCCAGTGAGAATATTACAGTTCTTCTATCATGTTCTTCCATCTTTTAATCAAGGTTGAAACTAATTTCTCCTATTCTTACTCAGAATTTCAGACAAAATTTTTGATGTAGAGAATTGCTGAACTGGAAGAGGTGAGAGTTAAAGTCCATTACAACATTCCTTATACAGAAAAGAAGCTTGAGGCTCATAAAGAAGTGAGTGTGAAAATGATGTTTTGATAGAACTGAAACCATGTTGAAAACTCGATGTTTCCAAAGAGGTTTTCTTCCATCTTTCTCTGAACCCCAACTCAAGTGAGTTGTTGAAAACCAAACTGATATAAAAAAACAGCACACTACCATGTCTCATTGGGAAGTGTCAAAACTTCCTTTATCAACCACCACCAATTTCTACTACGCTATCTTCAACCACTCCAACTTTATGACCTTCACTTTGATGGGCATACCTGGATTAGAGTCCCAGCACTTGTGGTTATCTCTTCCTTTCTTCTCCATGTTTTTGGCTATCCTCATCAGCAATGGTGCCATCCTTTTCATGGTGGCCAGGGAGCCCACACTACACACACCAATGTACCTGCTCCTGGCTCTGCTGATGGTGGCTGACCTTATATCCACTCTGGCTCTGTTGCCTAAGCTCCTCTGCCTCTTCTGGTTCAATGATCGGGACATAGCTGTCAATGCCTGTTTCACTCAGATGTTTTTCATCCATGGAACATCCGTGGTACGATCAGCCCTACTTGTTGCAATGGCCTTTGACCGATTTGTGGCTGTGTGTGAGCCACTACGCTACAACACAGTTCTGAGCCATTCCGTAGTTGGACACCTGGGACTGATGGCTTTAGCCAAGGGGGTGATTCTTATCTTGCCCATGCCTCTTCTACTGCAGAGGTTGACCTTCTGCCACATGGTCATTCCTCATACCTACTGTGACCACATGGCTGTGGTGAAACTGGCCTGTGATGACACCAGACCTAACCGGATCTATGGGCTCTTTGTGATTCTGCTTGTGGTGGGACTTGATTTGGTGCTCATTGGCTTCTCTTATGGTCTCATCCTGCAGGCCGTGAGACGTCTCAATTCTCGAGATGCCATCTGCAAAGCCCTTAACACCTGCTCAGCCCACCTCTTTGTCATCCTTATCACTTATGTGCCTGCTCTCTTCTCTTCTCTCACCCACCGCCTTGGTCACAATATCCCACCTCATGTCCACATTCTTCTTGCCAATCTCTACCTTCTTCTACCCTCAGTGTTCAATCCCATCATCTATGGCATGAAGACAAAAGATATACAGATCAAGGTGGCCAAATGCCTGTGCAGAAGACATTCATAGATTATACATCCTGACCACATACCTGAGAGTAAGTGAACAATGAGGACAATTGCATATACCTTTGCCCAACCATCCAAGATCCAGTTGTATCTCCAGATGAACTCTGGAGACTATGAAGAAGTGTGTGCTGCATGTATTAGTTTATATGAAGAACAAATATGATTGCACTTTCATTGATTTGTAAACTAGAAAGGGGAAAGCCAAGATAGCTCTTTCTATGTCTGTTTAACAGGACCACTCTTATGACATGGATCTCTTTATAATTTTCACATATGTGTTCATGTTTGCTAAGTGCAGACAAAGTTTTTCTGTGAATGGTCCAAGATAAACCTCCTATCTTGGTGGAAAGTTTGTATTTGTTTCAATTTTCTATTTCTCTAATTCTATATCCATTTCTAAATACTATTGTATTGTTTCAAGGGACTTGACATACTCATTATCTTAAATATCACCTTAACGTGTAATATTACTGAATTTTTTACTGCAATGTATCTGGAGGGTACTTTGCCTAGTGAAATAAATCAGAGAAAGGTGAATACAGTGTTATCACTTATCATGAATGAATATCATGAGTGACTAACAAAACAGAAAGAAACTCCCAAATATAGAGAACAATCTAGTGGTTACCAATGAGGAGAGGAAATGGAGGAGGGGTAAAATAGTGATAGGGGATTAAGATGTACAAGCCATTTTGTATAGAATAATAAAATTAAGATTACATAGTATAGCACAGGGAATATATCCAATATTTTATAATAACTTTAAATTGACTTAATCTGTGAAGATATTGAATTACTATGTTGCACATCAGAATCTAATATAATATTGTAAATCAACTATATTTCAATAAATCAAGTTACTTAAGAAACAGCAGTGAAAGAGATATACTTTGATAGTTTATGGTGAACAATGTCAGATTCATGATCTCCAAAGATTTAGCCTTGGGACCAGAGACCAGGCTTGATCACTCAACAGCTTTTGTGTAGCAGTTTTATTAAAGTGAAAAAGGACAGAAAGCTTCTGACATAGACAGAAGACATAGACAGAAGGGGGACAGAGAATGCCCCCTTCGCTAGTCTTTGGAAAGGGAATTACATACTTTTTCAATTGGTTATTACAATAAATCAAAAGAATGTCTCAAGGTTTTAAAGATCTTATTAGATCTCCCACAATTTACATTTTAAGGTGGCAGGATTAGAACTAATAACAGAAAGATCTTACCAGACCCAATCTCATAATATACATTTTAAGATAACAGGATTAGTCAGAAGGTTCTCAAGAAGGAGAAATGTGTCCTCATGCAGGATACATTGTTGTTATATAATCCTTACTAAGACTAAGGAATATAGAAAAAAGAAGTTTGTCCTTTCCTTCTTGAGAATTCCAGACCCTTGCCCCCTTGAGAGCCCTAGACCACTTTCTTCTCCTCAGGTACCCTGGACTTCTTATCAACCCGCTTCAGAATTGACTCTCTCAACTTTAATGACCCACCTCTCAGAGTAATGGAAATAAAAGCAAAAATAAAGAAATGGGACATAATTAAACTTAAAAACTTTTGTACAATGAAGGAAACTATAAACAAGGCAGCCTTCAGAATGGGAGAAAATAATAGCAAACTAAACAACTGACAAAGAATTAATCTCCAAAATATACGAACAGCTTATGCATCTCAATTCCAGAAAAGCAAACAATGAAATAACAAAAATGGGCCAAAGAACTAAACACACATTTCTCCAAAGAAAACATACAGATGGCTAACAAACACATGAAAAGATACTTAACATCATCATCAGAGAAATGCAAATCAAAACCACAATAAGGTACCATTTCATGCCAGTCAAAATGACTTCCATCAGAAAGTCTACAAATAATAAATGCTGGAAGGATGTGGAGAAAAGGGAGGTCTCTACACAGTTGGGAATGCACCTAGTATAGCCACTATGGAGAACAGTGTGGAGATTCCTTAAAAAAATGGAAATAGAACTGCCATATGACCCAGCAATCCCCCTGCCTGGCACACACGCTGAGGAAAACAGAATTGAAAGAGACGCATGTAACTCAAAGTTCACTGAAGCACTGTTTACAACAGCTAGGACATGGAAGTAACCTAGATGTCCATCGGCAGACGAATAGATAAGGAAGTTGTGGTAACATATATACAATGGAATATTACTCAGCTATAAAAAAGAATGTATTTGAGTCAGTTCTAATGAGGTGGATGAAACTGGAGCCTATTATATAGAGTGAAATAAGTCAGAAAGAGAAACACCAGTACAGTGTATTAATGAATATATATGGAATTTAGAAAGATGGTAACAATGAACCTTATGCAAGACAGCAAGATACACAATGTAAGAACAGACTTCTGGACTCTGTGGGAGAAGGTGAGGGTAGGATGATATGAGAGAATAGCATTGAAACATGTATATTGCCATATGTAAAATAGATGACCAGTGCAAGTTTGATGCATGAAGAAGGGCACTCAGAGCTGGTGCTCTGGGAAAACCCAGAGGGATGGGATGGGGAGGGAGGTGGGAGGGGGTTCAGGATAGCAGGACACATGTACACCCATGGCTGATTCATGCCTATGTATCCAAAAACCACCACAATACTGTAAAGTAATTAGCCTCCAATTAAAATAAATAAATTAAAAATAATAAAGACAGATCTCAAAAGAAAAAAAGGAAAGAGATACACTTTAACCCTCCTCTCTCCCTCCATGAGAGCAAACAATAAGTTTCTCATGTCAAAATGCCAACCTCCTCTCCAGAGACAGGATACTGGGGCCAAGAAGCCTGTATAAAGAAATGTTCCTTTTCTAATTTACTACCTCAAGCCCACACTCTGTTTAGATTTCTCATTAATTATTTTAAGTTTCTTTGTCTTATCAATTCCTCACAAATTTATAGTTTCCTTCTCTAAATGTATAAAAATTGCTGGCTTTGCCATTTGTTAAGTTCTACTTCTACAAAACCTGAATGTACATGAATTAAATTTGTTTCCTTTTCTCCTGCTAATCTTTATGTGCCAATTTTATTATTTATCTGGCCATAAGAACTCAAGAGGAATAGAAGGGGCAATTTCCCCCTCTCAAACTGTAGTTTAGACTATCCAACTTGACACATGATAGCACTACTGTAAGCTCCATAGAATGCACCACCCAGGACTTTCCCTGTATCTTGCTGAGAGCTAGACTTGGTTCAGTTCAGTTCAGTTCAGTCGCTCAGTCATGTCCGACTCTTTGTGACCCCATGAAACGCAGCACGCCAGGCCTTCCTGTCTATCACCAACTCCTGGAGTTTACTCAAACTCATGCCCATCGAGTCGGTGATGCCATCCAGCCATCTCATCCTCTGTCATCCCCTTCTCCTCCTGCCCCCAACCCCTCCCAGCATCAGGGTCTTTTCCAACGAGTCAACTCTTCTCATGAGGTGGCCAAAGTAGTGGAGTTTCAGCTTCAGCATCAGTCCTTCCAATGAACACCCAGGACTGATATCCTTCACAACGGACTAGGTGAATCTCCTCGCAGTCCAAGGGACTCTCAAGAGTCTTCTCCAACACCATAGTTCAAAAGCATCAATTTTTCAGCACTCAGCTTTCTTCACAGTCTGACTCTCACATCCATACATGACCACTGGAAAAACCATAGCCTTGACCAGATAGACATTTGTTGGCAAAGTAATATCTCTGCTTTCTAATATGCTGTCTAGGCTGGTCATAACTATCCTTCCAAGGAGTAAGCGTCTTTTAATTTCATGGCTAGAGTCACCATCTGCAGTGATTTTGGAGTCCCCAAAAATAAAGTCAGCCACTGTTTCTACTGTCTCCCCATCTATTTCCCATGAGGTGATGGGACCAGATGCCATGATCTTAGTTTTTCTAAATGTTGAGCTTTAAGCCAACTTTTTCACTGTCCTCTTTCACTTTCATCAAGAGGCTTTTTAGTTCCTCTTCACTTTCTGCCATAAGGGTGGTGTCATCCGCATATCTGAGGTTATTGATATTTCTCCCGGCAATCTCGATTCTAGCTTGTGCTTCTTCCAGCCCAGCGTTTCTCATGATGTACTCTGCATAGAAGTTAAATAAGCAGGGTGACAATATACAGCCTTGATGTACTCCTTTTCCTATTTGGAACCAGTCTGTTGTTCCATGGCCGGTTCTAACTGTTGCTTCCTGACCTGCAAACAGGTTTCTCAAGAGGCAGGTCAGGTGGTCTGGTATTCCCATCTCTTTCAGAATTTTCCACAGTTTATTGTGTTCCACACAGTCGAAGGCTTTAGAGTTGGTTGGGCAGAACAAAGGTATTGCAAACCTTCATTTCTCCCTTGTTTTATTTTTCATTTAACTAAAAGTGAAATGGATTGAAAGTTTCTCTAAAGCACTTTTAGCTGTAGACAGATGAGAACATTCCAGGCAGGTTTCATTAAAGGAAAGTTGCTACAACCCTGTTCTGCTCTAGGTTTTTAAGGTAATATGTTAAAGGTGTTTACAATAGCTGTATTGTCCAATAGAACTCACCAGAAGTGCAGACCACAGAGCAATTTGATAAGGAAAACCCAATCAAAAGGTTTTTTATTTTTAATGTTCATTTTCTTAAAACAGTGTTTCTTAAAGTGTGAATCCTTTTCCAGTGACATTTGCATTAATTGGGAAGTCCTAAGAAAGGCACATGTTAGGACCCTGTTCCAAATTTAGTGAATGAGAAATTCTGGGGGTATGGACTGGCAATCTGTGTCTTAACAGGAGCTACAGGTAATGTTGAAGAACACTAAATTTGAAAACTGTTGACTTTAGAGAGACTCTCCAGAACTAGGATCAAGGGCATGCATGCAGCTGATTGAATATAGATCTAGTCTAGTTGTGGGAAGTGTCTACAAATGAAAATTGATCTGTTTGAATATGGTGGGACTAGAGGAGAAGCATTTAGAATGGTGATAAGGAGACCAAATCTTGCAGTAAATTATGGATAGAGACCATAATTCTACAGAGAATTCTTGGAATATCCCCACATAATATAAGGCCCTAGATGATGTCTGGGGCTGGTTTACTGGAAATAGAAGTTCAAGATATTTTTTTAAGAGTCTTGGGATGCATGGTAAGTAAACTCTATGAGTGGTAAAGTTGTGCCAAATAAGTAAACTCTTTACATATGAGAGTATTGTTACCAAGAGTGAATTAGACCCAGAGAAGACAGGATTGTGGTTTTAATGCAAAGGAGCTCTTTAACAGTACAGTTTACTAAGCTTTGTTGTTTAGTCACTAAATCATGTTTAACTCTTTTGTGACCCCATGGACTTCAGCCTGCAGGGTCTTCAGTCCATTGGATTTTCCAGGCAAGGATACTAGAGTGGGTTGCCATTTCCTCCACCAGTGGATATTCCTGACTCAGGGACTGAACCACATCTCCTGCATTGGCAGATGGATTCTTTACCACTGAGCCACCTGGGAAGTCCTTATTGAGATTAGCACAGTTGATAAATTCTCAGCAAAGAACAACATGAGATAGAGGTTTAGTAATGTTTAATGTATATGACTTTTTAATATAATTACTTCATATGGTGAAAAACTGCCTTTAGTAATCACATCTCCTAGATACCAGTATAATTTCCTATTGAATTCCATCACCAGCTTGCTACATCGTGCACAGGTTAAAAAAAAAAAGAAGACAAAGTGTCTAACAAAGCCAATTACTGTGCAACTATGTAACAGTGACCAGTCTGGGGACATGTACAGTAAATCCTCTATAACAGTGTAGTCTCAGGAAAAAGTAACCAAGGCAGAATGACTCTGGGATAAACAAGGACATGAAAGAGAAAGCATATCCATCCTGGGATCCTTGGAAAATGGAGCTGCATTGGAAACAGAGATCCAGGTCAAATAACCATAGCGCTTGTATCTGCAAGTTAAAAATGTTAGGTGCCCTTAGATAAATAGTTCCATCTCTGAGAGGTGGAGAATTAGAAAGAAAACAAAACAAAAATAGAGAAAGAATTCCAAGGATACAGACTATAAATACTCCTTCCCTGACTCTTTAACAAAAACCTCTAGGTTCACCTTTATAATCTGACCTGATCATCTGGAAAAGAAAGGCTTGGATGTTGCATTTTCTAGGAATCACAGATGTTCCCCAGATGGCTCTGGCCTGAAACACAATGCAATCCACTTAACTCCCAAGTGGGACTGTGAGACAGATTTCATCAGCATAACAACCTCTGGGCTCAGTATTCAGAAAGTTGAAGGTGGGAGACTAGTAATGTTCTTTCCATCTTCGGAGAATATTTCTACAATGTCCTGCTTCTCTTCTCTGCTACCCTGCAGTTATGTGAGTTTGGGCTAGAGAAAGATTCTAGAAAAGATGTTTCTTAGCCCTCAAGAAAAATCTTTCTGTGTAGATGGTGATGGAAAATCTATTTCAAAGAAGAGAAAGTGAGATTTAGAGGTATGAAAAGGGGATTTTGCTATATAACAACTCTATGTAATCTAATTTAGAGTTTGTTCAGCAGATGTCCTAAAATGGAAGTTTTAATTTGGCATTAAGCCCTCTAGTTGGAAAGGGGGGCTGAGTAGAGAGCCTTTAACAAAGCAAGTAACAAGTGATTTATTACTCAAACCAGAGAAATGGGAGGCATTATGAAGTAAATTCAAGACCTTTACTAAAAACTAATTACTCACTAAGCACTTGAGAGGAATGTGTGTGTAGTGACAGTCTGCAGAGATCAACAACAGTATATTGGGCAGGGGGATCAGCAGAACCTTATTGATGCCATTGATTTATTTCATGTTTCAATGGTCTTGCAGTTGCCAGAGCTATCCCGGTTTAGCTGCCCTCTTACACAGACAGAGTGACAGGCTTTGATTTATGCTGCAGTTTCAGGCGGTGAAAGTTTTCTCCAACCTACGTTTCACCAAATGGTGATGTTGGAACTTTTATATTACCGAGGGCATTGGCTTCAATGTCACAATCAGAATTGGATTAGCAATTTTGTCAGAAGGCCAGGTTCAAACTAAAGTGTGAGTAACAATGGTCCCAAATATTTATCAATATCATAAAATATTTTATGTAAGAGATGGTGTGAGACAGGGGTTTATTCCTGTGAGCTGGATGAGATGATAGTGGGAGAGGGTGATGTGATAAGAGGACATGATGTATGAAGGTGGTGGTATGCATAAAGATAGGGATTCCTTGGAAGGAAACTACAGGAACTACAGGTCATGTTCACTTGCATCAATCACATTATGAGCCAATCTAGTCAGGTGATCTGAGTAATACGTGATAAGTCCAACTTCTATAGGAAAAAAGTCATAAGGCATGAAGCCAGTGACTTAAGAAGTAGGAATGAAACTCAGAGAACAGTCCTCAAATTAAGCATCCGGGCTAAGGGTGAGTGAAACTGTGAGAGCCTGAAAGCCATAGGGATGTCTGGCATAAACTAAGTGGTTGGGGAGGTGCTGTGAGCAGAGGTTTTCTGCTTTCACAATCTGACTCCTGCACCGCTATCCATGTTGAGCACTTCACACTAGCTCAGTGAGCAAATCTGTGTCAAAAAAGTAAGAGCTGAGGACATATAGTGTAGCTGAGATCAGACTGGAAAGCTGTTTTCTAATCTCTGAATGATCATCATTTAACTGTAGAGGTCATACGGAAAACGGTTGTAAACAATATGTATTTAGTCAGTAGGTTTACCGTATAATTCTTATTGTATAAATATTCAAGATAAGATTAGATTCTAATAAATAGCAGGTTAAGGAAATTGTGTTAGGATATGAGGTCACTGACCTATTAATATGAAAGCAATGGTAATACCAAATGACATTGTTTACTGAACACCTTCTATGAGCCACACACTGTACAACGTGGTGTTCTTTACATTTCAACATCCTTACAAAGTATTATTACCATATTCCTGAACAGAAATGGAAATCCGGTCTTAGAGGAAAATTGGCTTGTCCAAGGCAATACTATCAGTAAGAGATTTGTTCCCAGTTATATGGGCCCCAAGCTCTTTTTTGTGTGTGTGACTAAGCACACCTTCCAGCTTTAAAAATTCTGATTCTGTATCTCTAAAATATTCCTACCTCTTTTAAAAAATAAGAGAAGGCAAAAAAAAAAAAAAATCTAGAATATACTGTCACTTGAATATTTGGTGGAGAGCTAGAGAGTTCAAAGAACATAGGTAATGTTCACATTTTTGGAACAGTAAAAACTTTTACCTCAGTGAGTTTTAATTTAGGAATGAAAAGATCCTAAGTTGAATAGATCAGAACATTAGATCTTTGCTGTCTCTGCCCCCTCGGATATAAGTTCATGGGACAGTGTGTCCAACAATACTCTACATAAAAACCTAATGGAATAAGCCATATTCATACACCGTCTGTGGAGGTCATGTAGTTTATTGATCTTGACTTGTTGACAGAATTGTGCTTGTCACCAACATCCTCTCCTCTTAATCCCTATGTTTATGAAAACAAACAACAACAGTTGATCTTATCCTACACATTTGGGCTATCTGTTATCTCTTAAATTCATCCACACTGTAAGGAAGGATATTCTGTGAAGTCCAAAATAAAACAGTTTCTTCCCTCATTTTTCTTATCCTGTGACTACACACATGTGGCATCTGGTCTATCAAGGAATAAGAGAGTTTATTCTCTTGGATTCTGTTAAATAGAAATGTGGAGTAAGAAAGAGAAATGCGAGTCTAGCTTATTCAGATCCCTGTTCTGTGTTGTCTCCTTAGGTGGTGTCATACTGTGTGAGGGTTTCTGACCGAGAAGATGCCCGGTCGTCTTGGCCAGACCATGGAGTCTCCTAACCACACTTCCCTGGACTCTTCTGTTTTCGTACTCACTGGCATCCCGGGTCTGGAGCAGTTCCACCTGTGGCTTCCACTCCCTGTGTGCCTCCTGGGCGCAGCCACAGTTGTGGGTAACAACCATCCTGGCGGCCATTGCCACTGAGCCGGCCCTGCACAAGCCTATGTACTTGTTCCTGTGTATGCTCTCAACCGTTGACTTGGCTGCCTCTTTCTCCACAGTCCCCAAGCTCCTGGCCATCCTCTGGTGTGGAGCCGGACACATATCTGCCTCTGCATGCCTGGCGCAGATGTTCTTCATTCATGCTTTCTGCATGATGGAATCCACTGTGTTGCTGGCCATGGCCTTTGATCGTTACGTGGCCGTTTGCCACCCACTCCGCTATACCACTGTCCTCACTGACACCATCATTGCCCGAAATTGGGGTGGTAGCTATGGTGCGAGGTTCCATTCTCATGCTCCCGTGCCCCTTCCTCATTCAGCGCTTGAGCTTCTGCCAAAGCCATGTGATCCCGCACACCTACTGCGAGCACATGGCTGTAGTGAAGCTAGCCTGTGGAAACACCAGGCCTAATCGTGTTTATGGGCTGACGGCAGCACTTCTCGTCATTGGCGTGGACTTGTTTTGCATTGGTCTTTCTTATTTCCTCATTGCACGAACTGTCCTTTGCCTCTCATCTCATGAAGCTCGGTCCAAGGCCCTAGGGAACTGTGGTTCTCATGTCTGTGTCATCCTAATCTCTTATACACCTGCCCTCTTCTCTTTTTTTACCCATCGCTTTGGCCACCATTTTCCACTCCACATTCACATTCTTTTGGCCAATGTGTATCTGCTCTTTCCACCTGCTCTTAACCCTATGGTATGCGGAGTTAAGACCAAAGAAATTCGGGAAAGGGTTGTCAGGGTGTTTCAAAAGGGACAGGGAACTGGGCTTAAGGCATTGGAGTGACCTAGGAGTATAGAAGGGACTTAGTCCATACAGTAGTAATATTTTCAAGATTAAACTGTCCTTAGTGTTTGACACTTGGACAGAGTTTTAAACAAGGTTATGTTGGGTTACAGTATTTTCTAGACCATTCTAAAGCATAAGAAATCACAGTGAAGGTCAAGTTGGTTCATCATTGTTAATTTTCATCTAAGGAAGTATAACATGGGGAGATTCTTCCGAACTTGGTTAGAGGAGTTTCGGCATAGTCATCGGAACTTTCCTCGTTACCTGGCCCTCTCCCAGTTCTGCAGGCATGGGTTTCTAGCCTCACATTTTAGGCGGGTATGTTACCAGACTTCCCTGGTGGCTCAGACGGTAAAACATCTGCCTACAATGCGGAAGACCTGGGTTCTGTCCCTGGCTTGGGAAGATCTCCTGGAGAAGGAAATGGCAACCCACTCCAGTATTCTTGCCTGGAAATCCCATAGACGAAGGAGCCTGGTAGGCTGCAGTCCATGGGGTCGCAAAGAGTCGAACACGACTGAGACACTTCACTTTCACTTTCATTACTATCAGAAAGATCAAATAATAGGAGCATTCACTGTTAAAGAAATTAGAACTACAAGGGACTTATGTGCTTTTGCATTAATGTTATATTTCTCCATTAGAAGTTCAAGGCAGGAAGAGAAAAAGAACTAGCCAATACTCTCAGTTTTAGCAAGTGGCAGATCAAGGGCTTGAAACCTAGACTCCTAAAACAGTAAGACCTTCACGGATGAGGGCACAGCATAGGTAAGGAAGAGCTGTTTCTCAACTTGGAATATTCATCTCACAGATAAATTTCTGACTGCAGTCTCTAGGGATCCAACTTAAGTCCAAGTGACCTGGAAATCATTCTGGGACAAAGGTTTCTAAATATTATTACACATTCAAGTAATTAAGAGGTCCTTCCAGAGATCATTGACTCGTAACTCTGAACCTAGGAGTCAAGATAGTCACTTGCTCAAACTAGTCGGGATAGGAAGTCTTAGCCATTCATTCATACATTTATGTAGAAGGAAAATAATCCCAAGCTGATATTAATCTTTCAGTCTTAGCTAGCACAGTGTAGTGGAAAGGTCTTAATTGCATCTTTGAAACTGGGCTTGGAAATTGTTACTGTACAACCTAGGTCTTCTGCTTTTCAAAAAGAATAGCTTCAGACAATCAGCCTGACACATTTAACTGACAAATTAATTTTCAATTGTAAATTTATTGATGGTACTCATTGTCTGCTTGTCATCCTCTCAGTTCACCATCTCACACTGTTAGGTGGAAGAGACACAAAATTTCCTGGTGTAGTTAACAGATTTTCCCACACCAGTCTCAAGGGCAAAAAACTAAGATAAACTTTTAAAGCTTCCATTCTCATGAATATGAATAATTCTGATACTTCACATAGATGGCAATAAACAGTTTGCAAATATTAGAAGTCAATAAAATATGCCAAACACTATTTTTCAAAGGAAAGGTAATCATTACACTGTTCTATAGGAAAATTGACATTGCATGGAGTGGCACTGATTTTAATTTTTTTTTGAATTATAGTCCTCAAATGGAAATGTTCTCAACAGATTTTTAAGAATTGTATACAATTCTTAACACCATGTTTCCTCAACTAAATTTCTATTTTATCCTTCAAAATGACCATCATACTAGCACACAAGCCCTACTACACCAACTCTGAACAATTCTGTGCTCTGTGTCGTGTGTTGCTGTACTCCCAGTATGGAGCGCTTCTGAAGGAAGTATAAGGATGGGCAGATTTCAAGCACCATTTGCTCATAATTTCAGATTTTACCTGGTATCTCATTACAAGACTATGCTTTACTTATTACATGGTTTATAGCAATAAATTTTTTATCATACCAAATCTGTTATATACCTCCTGCTCCTCATGGCTTCCATATTCCATATTGCTTTCTATTCCATAAAGACAAATGGAAGCATTAGAAGTAAACTGGACTTCCCTGGTGGCTCAGATGGTAAAGAATCTGCCTGCCATGCAGGAGACCTAGGTTTGATCTCTGAGTAGGAAAGATCCCCTGGAGCAGGGCATGGCAATGCACTCCAGTATTCCTGCCTGAAGAATTCCATGGACAGAGGAGCCTGGCAGGCTACTGTCCATGGGGGTGCAAAGAATTGGAGATGACTGAATGACTAACACTATCTCACTATCACTATAGAAGCAAACTATCTCAAATTCCAATCTTTTGACATGTACAGTCATTATTTTCTCATATTATTGTATTTGTTTATTATTAATTTCTTTTTCTGATCAAGCAAAGTTCTCAAAGTATGCCCTTGGGAGCTCAGACCATCACTCACTTTCTCCATTTCTTGTGTTCACAATGTGTTCGAACTTACTGACTTTTATATCTAATAGCAGAGACTTTGTGACTTTTCTTTTTTATACAAGTGTTTGATAAATATTTTTGGAACTAATCATTTCTGCTTTCTTGCTTCCTATCTCTTCCCCCCAGTATAATCTGGCTTCAACTGCAGGTGGAAGTTTCCAGTGAAGTGTGGGTCATCAAAGTCAGCAGTATCTTGTCTAATTGGAATAATTTTCAACAAGTTGTATTATTGACCAATGTACTTCTCCACCATCTGCTATTGACTTCCTTGATACTGCGTTATCCTTTCTTCTAAGTCTACAACGTTTTCTTTAATGTTCTGAAAAAAATGATATTAGATCAAAAAGAAAACCTCAATGAGGTCCACAGGAAAAATAATAAAAAAATATTTCAAAACAGTACATTAAGACTAGAGATTTTTTGAAATGTCAATACTATTGACCTGAAGCAAATAGACCAACAGATATTTTTTCCAGTACAGATAGGTCTATTTGCAATCACCAGGGAATTGCAATCTGGGCTCTGAAACCCTGCTGAGATGTATGTGTATCTGGCATATCAAGGAAAGAACTTTTTTGCATCAGGAGAAAGAAAGTTGGGAGGGCCAGTGTGAACCAAGCCTTCATGGTTTTTTACTGGCTCAATCCTTGCTTGAAAGAATAAAGGTCTTTCTTCCTTTTGGGCTCTAGTCTCACCTTAAGATGTGAAAGCTTCCCTTTCTGAACTTGCAACTCTATTTAATTGAAATTTCTGTTTGTTAATTTTTTTAAAACAAAATATTTGGTTATTAAGCAACCCCAAATTTGAATGTCCATATCCATGATATTTTTTGCAAAATACCAAGTAAATTTCATGTGACCTCACCCTCCACATGAGTTCTCCCTATAACTCAAGTCTCAATAACATCAGGTTCCAGGAAAGAAAAATATGAATGGGAAACAGAAACAGTGATCTTGAAACATAAATCTACAGAAACCAATGGTCTGGAGCCAGATGATGGAAATTGCTGTTTTCACTTGTGAAAGAAATTTAAATTTAATAACTGTGATTTAACTCTGAACAAAATGTACTGTACATTCTTATTTTTCACCAAAGTTCTCTGTTTCCTCAATGATATCTTAAAGATGCAATAGAGAGTTTACCAAGAGGTCAATAATATAATGAATTGTAAGCCTCTGCTTGTCTTATGAGAAACATACTGACCTGCTATCTGACCAGGTCTCCTTGCATGAGTCTTACTTATATTTGCTTCATTCCCACCTAATGAGTTGTCTCCTTTCTTTAAGAGTGCTCTCAAAGAATGCACATTTTGGAGGGAGAAGTACAATAATGAAATTTATAAAATATTATAATAAGTGTATTTTTATGAGTAGAAGGTTATGGAGAGCAGTGGTTGCTATTTTTCCATTGAGCTGAAAATGAGACTAATAGATTGACTTAAACATTTTCTTTATAATATTCTGGATCTTTTTAAATTAATATGAAGTTGAGAGACAGTGAATAATTTTACTTTTACAGGCTTGTCACAGGTATCATAGCAAAGATTTTAGCACTAATTCTCCCTGCCCAGTTTCAAGATTTCACAATGCTTTCCCCAATGTTGTCAGTTTACACTAATTTCTATTTTTTGATATATATTTTTTTGTTTTTCATTTCTTAAAGGCACAAAGCAAGCTTTCATCATAAAATCACCCTATGTTAATAGTTTATCTCTGTTTATCTTGAAAGTAAAATTTAATGAAAGATTGCCAATGTTCGTTCTCTCTACCTTCTCATCCTCAAATAATTCTTAGCCATCTCTGGCTTTCTCCAGAGTACCTTACATCTGAAATAGCATTTGTCAATTTCACATATTACTCTAGTGCCATTAAATCTAGTACTTTCACCTCTATGGCACTTATACTCTACTTCTCAACAATCCTAAATATAACTGATTTTCCCCTTTGTCTAGAAACATTTTCTTTGCTTGACTTCTGGAGCATACCACACATTCGAACTTACTCTTTACTCTCATGGAACACTTCTGATCATCCTTTGGACCTTTATTTTTTTCTGGATTTCTTTATACTAGGACATCCCTGGACTTAGGTTTCTTTTTCACTCTTTCCCTAGGTCTTCCGATATAAATGGCCATAAGCATCAATGTATGCTAGTGATTCCCAAACTGATTAACCCATTAATAAATTTATTGAAGCTCAGTTGCAAGTTCAAGGTGAAGTAAGCTTCATGATATCTTTTTCTTAATCGTA